ATCCAGTCGCCCCATGCTTCTGAGCCAGCATAACCAGTTCGTTTACATATTGTTTATCTTGAGTCACTGGATCAGCGTGTATGACCTCAAAAGCATCGCAATGCCGTGAAAAACGGGCGCCATTCCATGCGTATTTAGCGGTATCTGCTAGAATGATCCGAGATTTAGCTCCCGGTAAAACGGCTTTGATTGAACGCACTATAGTTAATGTTTTAGAAAAGTGTGCACCCGCTATAAGAATCACTGGAGTACGCGCCAAAGGCTTTTTTGTCGATGAAAGAAAGTTTTTAATAGCTTGAGCTGTTTTGGCAGACGATTTGTTTGGCTTGAAGATGGCGTAAACATATTTGAATACTGCAAAAGTGGTCGAAAAAAGAGGTAGCACAAAAATGAGAAGTAGAATATGTCCAAATGAAGCTGCTCTGCCGTAATACATCTGCCGTTTTTCTTAAATTGTTGGAAGATTTCGTGCAGTATGGAATGCGTTTGTTCAAGTTGCAAGTCTTTGCTCTGTTTTTGTTGTGTTCTAAAAAGACTAACAGCATAAATAATTCACAATGATGATTGGATGGAATGAGACATGGTCTGATTGTAAAGAAAAATTGTAAAGAAAAATAAAAAGCAAAATAACATTGAATGTGAGCGTCTATGAAGTAATTTGCAGTTAGAGAAACTGAGAGTAAATAAGCTAGCCGAAAAGATTACATAATTGTCATATAACTATTATAAATCACGTACGTATTTTTAATTGGTTGATACTTCGGCTGGTTAATATACCACCAGCGAAACCAAATATGGGTTTTTAGAAGTAATTGTTTTTTATGTTTTCATTTTTCTACGCTTACAATTAGTTTTCAATGCATGTTTGATGTGCTACAAAAGCGGCGCTAAAAGATGTACACTTGTTACAAACTTGTGTTTTTCAAAAGGTGTGTCGTTTTGTGCGATTTCGATTTGTCTCTTTGAAAAACAATAAGAATTATTATTATTATGATTATTAGTAATGCGTAAATAGTAATGCATTGTATTTAACTAAGGTATGTAATAAGGAAATGAGACCGGGAAATATATTGTAATTTCGATGTGCTTGTTGTTTTAGCAATATGAAATTGGCGCCATGGCTGTTGTCATACTTTTACGGCTTACGGCACACTGCCAACATAAAATTCCGTGTTTTTCCTCACTATGGTATGTAGTTGCAGCATCTTTTTCCAAATGAAATGCAAAATTTTGTCGTCAAAGTGTTTCAGCAAACGCAAAGATTACAGGAATCCTGGTTCTTTTTGTGTGCGTTATCAAACAGTGGCATCTTCTTCCGAGTGTGAATATTTATTTGTATTGTAAAAGTTCATTATGTTGAGTTAAGAGGTCATCAATCCAGGCTCTTGCGATATGGCTGAATAAACAACGTTATAAATCCTGTAATGACTGCTATGCTTTCTGAGCTTGCAAGCGTCATCAAATCGCAGCGCTTATTTGGTAAAAAGCTGTCAAAAAAGACCTATTAGCCGTGATGTGCAATCCAAAAAAAAAGAATTTTTTTAACACTTGCTAACCTCATTTATCGTCTGGCTTGGAAAACTGACTCAGTTTAAAATTAATTTTAAATTAACAAGTATAGCCGGTTGATATGTAGAGAGCACAGAATGTTCAGACCTGATTTAATAAACGAAGTTCAAAAATAAAAAAGAATTTAAAAATAGGAAAAAGTTGAAATTTTCATCGATTGTTTTTCGTTTGTCCAAGTTTCTTATAAAAGCTAAATAACTAGAAAACAGCGAGAAGAATTTAATTTTTCTCATTTAACTTTAAAAATTCTCTCTGTGTCGAGAAACATTGAAATTTTTCGTCTTTCCGACAAAATCAGACAATTTAAATAGAAGCTGACTTCCAGGAAGCTTAATACTATTTACAGCTTAACAGTTTTGTTGTTATCTTAGCCATTATTACCATTCATTTTCGTATTTTTTGTGAAGACACATATAGGTTGAGCTAATTTTTCGTTTTTTTTTTCAGGACATGGTCTGTTTAGCTTCAACTAAGCTTGTTTTTTTTTGGGGTTTTACGTTTGATTTTTTAAATCAATTCGAACTCATTTGCAGAGAAGAAAGCGTTACGGTCTCTCCCATTACGAATGCGGAAATGGTGCGAAAAAATGTGAATGACTATCATGTGACAAACTGCATTGTATTTTTTAGAGTTCCCAGCGGAATAAATAACCTATTTACCCAATTTTCTCTAATTAGGTTAGTTTTATGAAAAGTGTGTTTATCATTAAAGCTGTGAACTTAAGTGAGCAATAGTGTTATACTACGGTTATTCGTTTTTCTAAGCTAATTCGCAAATACTGGTGCCACTTTTGGGGCACCTTTACGACTTTTTGATAGCATGTGTTTGACATTCGAATAGTAATAAGTTAACATAGTTAATCTATTATATATTTAAATGCGGGCTTTACTATTTAGCCATGTTTAAGTTTTTCCAACGTGTTATTTTTGCATGTTAAACGGAAGAATTTTTGCATGTTCAAGCTATATCGTATTGAGCCATGGTTAAGAGTTTTTTTTTAATTTTCTCGTCAAGTTTGACGAGTTTTTGTCGTCAAATTTGAAAATAGCAATCCAAAAGGGGGATGCTGTCGGGGTTACCCTAGGGATTGCAAATTGGGGCTCAAAATATGACTACACAAATCTTTGTAGCTTACGAGATTAAAAAATTCCAGAAAAAAATTAAATTCTCAACCGTGTAGTTGAGCGCTGTCAGGGTTCTCTCAGGGGTTGCAAATCTTGCCTCAAAATCTGGCCTCTCAAATTCTTTTAGTTTGCGAGATATGACGTTTTCAAAATTTTTCAAAGAACTTATATTCTAGTTTGACAAAAGGTGAATTTCTCAACCCATTAATTGGGTGCTGCCAGGGTACACTTAGGGGTTCCAAATCTTCTCAAAATATGACTGCTCTGATCCTTTTACTTTGAAATTTTTTTGAAAAATTAAACTTTTTTTCAAAACTTGAAAATTTGCCATTCGTGGGATGAATTTATGTTACACCCCAATTTTGTTGCTCGAATGGATTAAGTTTTTTGGTTTTGACGTTTTTCGTATGATATTTCCAAAATTGTCATTAAACTATCTGTTAAACTAACAAAAAATTCTGTTAAATAAAAAAGACTAGGTTCAACACGCTTCCGTTCAACACGAATTCAGTGATTTTGCCAATGAAGTTGTTAAATATGAGGAGTTTACTTGTATGCTGTCAGACATCTGAAACCGAGTAGTTTCAGAGATTTTTTTGTTTTAGTTTAAAAACATTTCAGTTTTTACGGTTGCATTCCTATTGTTTTTTTTTCATCTAATTTATATATCAGCAGTTTTCCCGTTAAATATTCTCTTTTCAGCACCGGAGGTGCGTTAAAAGCTAGTAGATTTTTACACAAGCATAGCTTATGTCATATTATGAACTTTTTTTTGTAAGCTTAAGTCGCAAGTATTGTTGCGACAAAATGTGTTCATTTTGAAAGTGTTCATTTTGATCCAGATATTAAGTACAGCCAGTGCTAAGGATTTTAACACAGACTCTTTTATTACTAATAGCACTTTATCTTCAAAGTATTATGGATCTGTAGCGTAGAGGTAGGAAAGGAGACCCGCAACAAAATAAGAGGGTTCAAACCTGGGTAGGGTCGGATGTATTTAATGAACTTTTTCGTATACTAGTTAAAATTGCATCGGCTCTATAAATTGAGGCAAGTTAATTGGTAAATTTCTTTTTTTTTCTAATTTACTGGTACTGCTAATGCGTTATAATTAGCTTGCGTCACTTAGCAATTATGTAGATTCAGAATTGGCGTCCGTCACTTAAGAAATTTTGTAGCAATTATGTAGATTCAGAATTAGCGTGCGTCACTTAAGAAATTTTGTAGACTCAAATTTTAACTCACTCAATTTTTCCCAGTAGCGTTATTGGTCATATTTTTTGCGGGTGTACGTGTAAATTCATCCAATGAACCGAATAAAGCTATTTGTTTCAAACATAACAATAAAAACTCGATTTCAGAAATTTTCTTTCTCAAATATCTTGCAATTTTTGAAATGCATTTTTTATACACATTGTGGCTTTATGCTTTCCAATTTATTAAGAGTAATGAACGTAGTGAGCACTATATAGGTCTTGGCGATTTGTTTTTTGATCACGCTCAATTTTGATTTTTCGCTGTTTGACTTCGAATTTCTTTTGAAGTTCAGTGCATTTCCTTTGTTACAAGGAAGGCAAATTCTACTATTGAACAGCAAAACTGTAAAGGTCATGAAAAACGTGATCGACTTCTAATTTGGAAAATGGAATTTAATTATCAGATTTCCCAGCGAAACAAAATTGTTACCTATTGATCCAGTTTTCTCAAATTGGGTTGATTTTAACACAAAAATGTCCATCATAAATTGTTCTACAAACTCAAAGAGCTTTAAGGCTAACTATTTTTTTCGAATTTAAAATTTTGAAGGTTTTTGAAAAAACAATACCGTTTTTTTTTTTTTTTAGTTTTCTTGCGTTCATTACTCTTTTGCCAACTGTCATTTTACTTGCATATTTGTGTCTATTTGTATTTAAGGCCACTTTTTTGCTGCATAGCATTTGCAATTTGTTAGCGTATGTAGCTGCATTATTTGCGAATAGTGTTTGTCGGATGTTAAGCGCTCGTGGCCGAGAGGGAAGGGCGTGAGACTCCAATTCTCGAGGTCCGGGCGTACTTGAGAGTTAAGAATGATCAAATTAGTTCGTCAAATTTCATTTTTCGCGGTTTGACTGAAGTTTTTCAATTCAAATTCATCTGCTAAAAGGAAGACAATTTACACCCTGTGAGGAGGTGAACATGGCGCAAAAGTTGTGAATTAATTATTTTCGAATAAAAGTGTACCTATTGATCCATTTTTCTCTACTTGGAATAGTAACCAATCACTTTTTACTTTTCGGTTGAGTGTGAATATATATTTTTTTATTTCAGGTGCAGGACAAGTTGATTGATGCGACAACAGTAACCAACGTACACCTGATTACCACCCAAATCGGGTGCACTATGACGGGCTTGGTGGCCGACGGCCGCAGTCAGGTGATCCGAGCACGCGCCGAAGCTGCTCAGTTCAAATACAAGAACGGTTACGACATGCCAATCGCTATGCTGGCAAAGCGAATTGCAGATATCAACCAGGTTATTCATTAATAAAAACAGTTTCGCATTTAATTAGCTTCATATATATTTAGTTATACTTTCTAAAATACGTCTATTGAAGTATGAGCAAACAAAGGTGATTTGCATCATTCGGAATCCGATTACTTTTTGCGTAGCGCCAATAAGTCTTATGATAATTTAAAAAGTTTATCATGTATGTGAATTTGTGAACGAAAGGACGTGCACGGTTGGTCGTCAAAGGATTTAATTGAGGCTTTGAATGTGATGCGATTTTTGCCAATCTTGCTTTATTCGAAGCACGCAGCACAGCAGACTAGTTCGTTTTTCTGTAAGCAGCAGGTCTGTGAATACTATCTGCAGTTTTAAAGCATTGTCTGAGCTGTCTGAAACCAATATGAAAGCAGAGAATATACGGCCCTCGAATTCTGGATGTTTTCTAAAGATCCCAATTAAAGTTGAGCTAGAAAAATCTTAAAATAGTTTTATTGATCTTTTGAATATAGCCAGAATACTTTACAATAACCAAGTTAGCGGTTGAAACTTGTTCGTATTAAAAAAAGTCATTTGTATGACTGGCTACATTAAAAAGGTCATTAAAACTTTTCTAAGGTCATTCAAGTCAACATGTAAGTGGGCTTTATGGCTGAATATTATCAGGTTTTTTAGGCGAAATCGTAAATAGAGTTCCGAAATCATTCATGCGGTAGTATAGTTCATCGTCTGGGTATCCATTTGAGTTTTTTTCTAGATACTGTCATACTATAGTTGTTTTTTTTTGGGGGGGGGGTTTCGACAGGAATTTTCAGACGGAAACTCAGCATTTCCGTTAAAAACATTTCGGACGTTTTTTGGAATTGTGTACTTCGTTATATTTTTCGTCGTCTCAGTTTCCGTGTTTTTGGAATAGTTGCTATCGGTAAGAATGAAACGTACTTTATTATTGATCATCATTAAATAGGAAGCTCCTTCCCGCTTGGTTTAGAGGTAAAAATGGCTTCGAGTCTCAGTGTCGGGTCTTGTTTTTTCAAGTATGTGTGAAATAATTTTCCGGGAAAAATAAATGTCGGAATTTGGTTTGTCTTTGATTTAAACGTTTCTTAATAATACTGACAGTCATCCTGTTATTCAGTCAATTTACCCAATTCGGATTTTGATCAAGTTTTTTTCACACTATCGAGCAGCGTAGTGTACTAATACGAACCTCTTTTTTCTAATCTAACATGCAACGAAAAGTGTTCATTATTTGGTGGCACTTTTGCTATAATCACGATTATAGAGCGTTCGGATTTTCATAGCATCTGTTTTCTGTTTTTTTTAATGACTAGTATTTATGACTTATAGTGTCCGTGGTTAGTGTGTGAGACTCATATTCTCTAGGTTGACGTAGTGCGCAGATCGAATCCGAGACGCAGCCGAATTTTTACTAATTCGAGACTCATTTCTATTTTTTCTAAATGCTTTTGGAAGAGTTGCTTTTTGTCGTATTCTCGCCTATAATTGCAAAGCGAAGCTTCGGCTCGTGTTATTTTTTGTTACTCTGTTATTTATTATAATGGTTTCGGCTCATGCTATGTTGGCTTATACAACTTATTTTATGTCGATAATTTTATTTTAAATTATCGTATTTCCTAGCAAAATAAGAGTTCTATTGATCCAGGTTTCTTAATTTGGGTTAATTTTATCTAAAAAGTGTCAAGCATAAATTTTTCTAGATTTTTAAAGAGCTTTAAGGCCATCTATTTGTTTTTTGAAATTCGAGGGGTGAGGATGTTTGGAGACTTGCGTTTCTTGACTATTTTGCAACTGTCTGTTGGCTATGTTTTGGTTTTCGGCTCAGTGCTCGTCTTCTCAAGGAATTGCGGCTCAGCGGTTGCTCGTTAATTGATACTTATTGTTCATTTTAATGTTGGTTATTGTATTTCATGACCGTTTTTCTGAAATTGATTTTTTCTTTTTGTCAAAGAAGTGTCAATTTTTTCTCTATGTTTTTGGACTGTGATTTCTGTCTCATTAGCTTGCAAGGCTACGCTTGCGTTGTATTGCAAGTGGTGCGAAGCTCAACTTCGTCTCTGTTTTGAGCAATGTTTTTGTGTGCTCACTTGAAGATCTCGGCGCCCCGAGCTCAAATTCAAGGAAAGTGTGTTTAACTTGCGACCGTTTGTATAAAGACAGTAGTTTTAAATTATTGTTACGTTTTTGATAGCGCATTAACTTTTTTGTGAAGCTGAAATTTACTGGCCCTCAAGAACTTCGAACTTGCAAAAATATCCAAAAAAGTCCGGAAACACTGATCGCGCTGCAACCGGCCACTTTTTTTATTTTGGAGTTTATTTTTACAAAGGCATACTTAAGTGTTTTTTTTTTAAATTTCGTCGGTGTGAAAAAAGAATAAATATTGGTTCGAGATTACTTCTGCGAGCCCAAAGTATTGCAACCACCGGGTACTAGATTTTTTCCGTGAAACTTCACAAGACACATCTTTGAATTGGCACTTCGGTATAATTTTTTTCCTAGATTAAGTCTGGTTTTGTTGAGTCAGCGCAGTGGCGTCAAATATTTCAAATGATGTTTCAAAAATATCTGAGATCAAACTTTTTGGTGTTACTTTTTCGGCTCTTTTTCCTTTTTCCCCCACCTCACATAATCATAATTTACATGGTGTAATGAGTTGTTTAACAAAGTTGAGTATGAAGATCAAATAGGTTTCTCATGGCCTAATTAGTCTGTATGCCAATTTTTATAGCAATCCGACAATGTAAAAAGAACTAAAAAAATTAGCATGTGGGGTAAAAGGAAAAAGAGACACTTTTTTGGCGAAACGGGCGTGGGTCTTGCTTTTTCGAATTACTAAATTCTGCTTTGTAAATTTTACTGCTTCAATTTTAGTATGACGCTAGCTATCGTTTTTGCCTAAAATTTATTGGAAGCAAATCAAGATGCATTGAAAAATTGTCGATACATATAGTAGTATGACACTTATAGATTAAGTTTTTCTACCTAAAATCTTGGTGATATTTTTGTCGGCTACCTTGATTGTTAAAAGTATTACGTATCGCAATTGTATCAAATTGGATTGATTTTTCTTTAATAAAGGGATTTATATAGTTTTTATGAATTGGGGAGTGAATTTTTATGAGTCGATTGTTTTCAGTTTCTTCGTTTCAATAAAAACTTGTGACTATATTTAGATGTTTTTCATCTTATGTTATTTATTCTGGTAGCATTTCATCTTCATGTGAATGTCCAGGTTTACACACAAAGTGCCGAAATGCGTCCTCTTGGTTGCATCATGACATTGATCAGTTTTGACGACGAGCTTGGGCCATGTCTGTACCAGATCGACCCAGCCGGATACTACAGGGGCTATCGTGCAATCAGTGCCGGCGTGAAGAAGACAGAGGCGAACAACATTTTGGAGAAGAAAATCAGAGATAGCCCGAAGCTGAACAAGAAACAGACATTGCACTTGGCTGTAGAATGTCTGTCTCAAGTACTCTCGGCCGACTTCAAAGCCGACGAAATCGAAGTGTGTGTAGTGTCTAAAGATGCGCCGAGTTTTAAGGCGCTGTCCGTTGACGAGAGAGAAGCGTTGCTAACTGACCTCTACGAAAGCAGAGAGTAAACTGATTTGAATTGTGACGTTTAAATTAAGTAGCTGCTGATATTATCTGATTCGATGTAAAGATATTAATTGTTCTTTATGAGCCGGTTTAAATAAAAAAGTGAATTGATTATTGGTTTAACTTATTCCGAGAACAAGTGATTGAAAACAGTGGAAATAAATTGCATTTCATTGTTAAGTAAAGCTGCTGATTTGCTTTATAAAGAAAATTGTATGTAACAGAAGCATTGGAAATCCTTTGACGTGGTGGATCATCATTGTCTTCCGCCAGAGGGCGGTGTGGGTTTCGGCCTAATTTCGACCCATTTGATCTTCTGTATTCAGCTAAATATTTGTGAGAACCTATTTGTGCCATAAATAGATTAATTCAAAGAGCTTTAAGGGCATATATTTCGTTCTTTAAAAATCGAAAGTTTCAAACACTAAGTCATTGTTTTTTTTCTGTTTACTTGCCTTCATTGACTCTTTTCCAACAGTATTTTGGCCATGTTTTTAACTATAATTACTCCTTTTTGTTTTTTGTCTTATTGGTGTCTTATTTTCTTTTATTTTTCTAGAAAAATCAATTGTATTAGACAAAAAAAACAAAAGGAGTAACTATAGTAAAAACAATTTTTTTCAATTAAAAAAAAATTAGTGGAAATTTTTTTAACAAAGAAAAATAACAAAAAAAATTCCTCAAAATAATTAAGGAATACATTCTGTGCTACTTGCTCAGCAACAGGATATCCCCGTTTTCAGTTTAAATTTGTCCTTAAATTGGTTTAAGTTCCTCCGATTGGTTACTATCTAAATGGTTTTTCTTTTTAATGTCCTCTAAGTTTTTCACTTACATTGTTTTTGCACGGTCAAGATTATCATTTTTAAACAAAAATTCTACGTGAATGACCGAAGATGCTGTTGATACAATTTTACTTGAAAAATTTCTTCATGCCATTCCATTTTACAAAACTTTGTATGAAACTCTATAAGCTTTTTTCAATATGATAATTGTATGATAAGTTTTTCCATGTACGAAATTTGTTTGACTTCCATTTTTGACTTGAAAGAAATTTCGATTTTGAAAAAACGATTTGTAGTTTTGAAGAAAAAAGATTGTCCTTTATTGTTTTTAAGTGGTTGTTGCACATAGATTGAATTTTCAGGAGCTTAATTTTTCAAAGTTAATGAATGAATCTTTTGGTTAGAAGATTGTTGTTCCCTGCGGATGGGTTTTTGAAGAAGCAGATTATGATGAACATTCTTCAGTATTTTTAAATGGATAATTTTCATTAAATTCAGTTCGCACTTACCAAAGATGAGGTTTTAAGCTTTGAGTGTATATCATTTTTTTGTAAGGAAAATGTTTAATGTGTAAATTAAATCAAAATGATTATACTTTTCTGTAGTTAGCAAGTTAAAGTGATCGGCAGTGTTTAATACTTGGTGGCAGAATTAGGTGTTTTCAATTTTCATGCTACTGGATTTCTTGTTCCGAATTTTGAAGAAAATTGACAATATTTCTTAGTATCATTTAAAAGACATTGTTGTCGGAAGCTCTAATGTAAAGTTTTTACCTGTCTTCGTTTTTTATTAAATTATGGGGGGCTTGAAATTTGCTAATTTGGCCAATCGGATAATTAAGGCGCAATATTTTGCGCTCTCTTAACACGCGTAAGTGGAGGATTAAATTAATCCAAAATGAATTGAGGGGTCCCTTTTTTCTTTACCTAACGTGTGCAGGGATTAAATGAAATAAAGTTTCAAAATGATTTCAATGTATAAAAGTTAATTGCAAGTATATTATTTCAAGAAATTTTATCTTTCTGTCAAGTGATTTTGTTTTTAATTGTTTTAATTTTGTTTTTGCATTATTTTTATTTAAATAAGAAAAAGCGAAAAATTGTGCCTTCTCTTAAAATTTTTGACTTTTTGATTGTTTCTGATTGCAATTATTTGAAAAAATTATATATATGCCAGTACTACGGTAAAACAAAAAAATCTTCTATCACAAATATGACACTCGCCTTGTTTGAAATTGTCAGATCTTTTTTTGAATCAAAAAATTGGGGAGAATTGCTGGATCGTACTAACTTTTACAAATTGTGATATACAGACTAACTTATACAGTAAATTTTTATGTTGTATTTTGGGCAAGTATTTTTGCATCATCTCTGTGTCCATTTTTTAACCAAAAAATTTTAAAGTGGCACAAGTGCAGTCGGAACATTCAGTCGACCTTCAAGAGCTCGGAAGGAGAGATAATTATAAAAAAATATGTGTATACTTTTGTTCAAAAAATTTGTTTCATTGCATAAGCAGATCTAGTATTTTCTCGCAGGTCAAATTTTGAAACGAAAATTTCAAAATTATTATTACTTTTTTTTCGTAGATCGGTCAAATTGATTTCTTGAGGCTCATCAAAGCCTTTAGAAAAGTTTTAGGGTCGGTTGCCCGAAAATGAATTTCGTAAAATAGTTACAAAGGGTCAGTTTTCTGAGGGGGAATCCCTCCCTTCTATCGGAACCTGATTCATTGTAATCCAACCAATTTTCAGACTTTAAATAAAGAAAAGCGGACGCTGTAAAGAGAATGTTTCCGCATTATCAAATAACGACTTAAACGTAATGACTCTAATGTCACTCGGTACCGTACGAAGTTCTTTGGGAACCTGATTTTGAGAGGAAATATGCACTGCCGAAACCACAGATGCCTCCCGCTTTCAACAATAGATTGGATAATCATGTCCATTTTCTCAATTTGAAACTTTTTGCCGTGACAGTGCTGAAAAGTTGTGCAAAAACAAAACCGAAAAAGTGTCAAGGAAATTGAGTTTTAGCCTTTGAAAAAGAAGGGTGGTAAAACGAAATGAGATCGCAGCCAAGTACTGAGAGACATCAAGTTCGACTCATCAACAAATGGGCGACTGGTATCGGCAAACACCTCAAATTCCTGGATCTTTGCGTTTCTATGAAAATGATACCTTATACACCAACGCTTACTACCAAGAAATGAGTTCATTTTTCAACTCATAAGAAACTAATCAAATTTCATCGTGGTTTCACTTCAAACAGTTTTAAATCAAGTTTTTTTTCGTTGTTAGAAAAAGGGCGAGCAGTAAGCGTACAATGCATGATATCAAGCGTTCAGTTTTTTCATTATTTAGGTCTCAAAATTGTATCGTTATCTTTCATGTTTTTCATTTTAATGAATTTTTATGGAAAAGATTATCGTTTAGTTTGCTTAATAAGCTGGACTTCGCAAAACTTGGGCCTCAGAGACCGCTTCTTATCAGCTTTGCGAGGTCCAGATCTTTTCCAGCTGAGACTGTCGGCATAGACATAGGTGGACCTGCCCTTCAATTCGGAAAGACGGCCGAATTATTCGGCTAAACACTTCCTGTACCCGCCCTAATATTTGAACGAGTTTTATATAGCAAAATAAAAGGTTCATTCAAAAAAAGTGAAAAAACCAGCATGGATTTAGAAAACATCATTCGTCTGTTACAAAGCTTATATTGTACAGTGATATTGTATACAAGAATTAAGAACAAGGAGAATAACCTCTCGCGCTATTTTTAGATATTGCAAAAGCTTTCGTTTTTATTAGCCATAACATTATTTTATTCAAGCCTGCCAAAATAGGCTTGGACCATAAAATTCTTCAATTTTTTTGCATCTTATCTCAAACAGAAAACAAATAATTTTTCTTTGCAATACATTGGCTCATTCCCGCAATAAAACAAGTCGTGGTCCACAGGGATCAATTTTTGCAATGTTCTTGTTTTTTTCTATATATGAACCATATGCCAGAAATTATTGACAACCTTTCCTTTTTATATGCTGACGATACAAAATTATTGGAAATTAGTTTGACCTTTCTTCGATTCAAACAGACTTAAACAATTTAATAACCTGGACAGCAGAAAACAGAATTGACTTAAAACAAGCGATACCCTCTAATCAATATTTTATCTAATGATAAAGAACAAGATTTTAAAAGACACGGTGATAAATCTTGGTGTTTTATGCAATTTCAAAATGTCATGGATATACCACATCACCGAAAGGCTTAAAAAGCAAACATGCAATTTAATTAGATCAGAAGATCCTCACCAAACTCTCTGAGTAATTCTGTTTGGGTTTCGTTTTTAAAAGTTGCATACTATCAATAATCTTTTTATGCATCTCCAGTTTAGTTTGCGACTAAAAACCAATGTAAGCTGTAAAAAAAATTTCAACGACGATGCATAAAAATGGTGTTAAGAAAAACATGAATTGAATGACGAGGATTGTTTTTTTTTACTTGAATAAAAGCAAACTGTTGCCAGTTTCACTGACGTTATTTAAAAACGATTTAATTTTGCTGAATAACATACTTAACAACAAGTTGCCGATAAGTTTGTTAATTTTTGGACAATCCGCAATAGCCCTGATTCAAATCGAACGGGAAACAAGACGGTTTTGAGAATGCGAATGGAAACTCCCTCGCGAGATCGAACAATTTGCCCGACTATGATCCTTTTCAAGAACCTGTAATATTTAGAAAGAATTTAAAGCTGCTATTGGTTGACAAGCTACAAACTTTTAAATACTCTATTCATCCATAGTCATCATTTTTAAGTTTGTTTTCCTAAATTTTTTATCAATGACTAAGAGCAACTAATCCCCGCCTTGCAGGCTTAAATTAATATTATTATAATTATTATGATTATGATTTTTATTATTATTATGATTGTTATTATTATTATGATTATTATGATTATGATTATTTCTTATTATAAAACCCTTAAATTGGATCTAATCTTCTTACATAATCTGAAATCCAGCTGTTGAGAAACAACTGCCAGAGTGCGAACAAACTATCTTTTTCCACCATTCAAATCAATGAAAATCAAGTTCACCAATTACCAGACTGATTTGCATACACGAAAAGACCCATTCATGATTAAATTTACAATTATGTCTTTCTATCTGAGAGAGAAGAGCACTCACATCGAATCAGGGTGCTTTTGAGCTCGGTATTTTTTCTTCAAGCGGACAAAAACTGGACTTTTAATTTGCCATTTTTGCCGAAAAACTTGATAGCAGACTAAGCTCAAAATTGAGCTCAAAATTTTCGATCTAGTGAATTTAGGTTATC